TAGATAATAAATTTTTATTTAGTGCGTCAATAATAAATAATTGACATTTGCAATGATAACAAGTAAGAAAGCCTAAGTTCGGGCAGAGCCGAACATTAAATACCCGGCGCACGTATTAAATATATGTTTTTCGCCTTACCGAAAGCTACGGCTATATGGTAAGCCGGGGCGTATCAATTTTGAGTAAATTAGAGTCCTTAGATTTCGAAATTTTGAAGTTTCAAGCAGTTCTGAAATTTACCGTTATATGAGAAGCGGCCGTTATTTTAGTCCGATTTCAATAATTTTCAACGGTTTGCTTATATGTGGCAAGCACAATAACCACACCGAGTTTGGTACAAATTGGTAGAACGGTTACTGAGATACATATATGTGATCATAAGTGGGCGGTGCCACGCCCATTTTCCAAAAATTTATCACAAACGTATTTCTTGGTAAAGAATTGTTGCAAGCATCAATTTTGAATAAATTAGCTTCAATATCTACTGATTTATCGAAGATTTTGTATTTCTCTAAATTACCGTTATATGGGATGTGGGCGTGGTTATCGTCCGATTTTAAAAATTTTAGGCGATTTTGTATGCTGTACGAAGGCCGACAACTGTGCCAAGTTTGGTAGAAATTGGTACAGCGGTTACCAAGATATACACATGTAACCATAAGTGGGCGTGGCTACGCCCATTTTCCAAAAATGTATAATATTATTATTTTTTGTCAAAAAATTATTGTAAATACCAATTTTGAGTGATTTATCTTCAGTAGTTACTAAAATATCGCAGTTTTCGTATTTCTGGAAATTACCGTTATATGGGAAGTGGGCGTGGTTACAGTCCGATTTCGCCCATTTTCAATAGCAACCTACCTTGGATTAAGGGAAACCTACATACCAAATTTCGTTGAGATATCTCAATTTTTGCTCGAGTTATCGTGTACACGGACAGACGGACAGACGGACAGACGGACAGACGGACGGACGGACGGACAGACAGACATGGCTTAATCGATTTCTTTTTTTATCCTGATCATTTATGTATACATTTGTCTATATCTATCTCGATTCGTTTTGGCTGTTACAAACAACCGTTATGTGAACAAAATTAATATACCCTTGTGCACAAGTGCGCTCGGGTATAAAAATGTGTTAAGTAAATATTAATGGCCGATAGACGGATATGAGTGGTGATTTTTTTATCCGAAACACAGCACAAATGCGCTGGAAGGTTTGTGATTGCTTGACAAGAGCCGATCATTGTTGGAAAAATAAACACTTTTTTCTGTTTTTCTTTGCAGAAATATATACGTAGATATGTATTTATGAATACAAAAAAAACGCAAGCCACGAATTGAAATTGAAATTTGATATGAAACTGGAAATTGAACAGGAAAAGTGGTTATTAAGTATTATTGCGAATTATTTAATTTTTTTGCCATGAAAAAATACAAAAGATTAGGTTTTTATGTACGCATAGAAAGTTTCAATCCTTGGGTTTATATGAAATTACTAAAAAACATTTTTATTTTCGTTGTTAACCAAAGCACAGATTATGGCTTTAAAGCCGATTTACAATTTATGCGAGGTGACCACAATGACACTTTTTATATATAGCTAAACTTTTTTTATTTACATCTCTTTTTGCATACTTGCTGTTCTTTGGGTAAAAAGGCATTACTTTTTCAAATTTTAACCACAGATTAACACAGTCATTTTCTGTGATTTTGTGATTCGCGCGACCATTTCAATTAGGGCATTGAATTGATAAAAACCTTATATCTTTTTCATCTATTACCTTTTTTATAACTACACAAGAACCGCATTGACAAAAGCCGATTTTACTCAAGAACGACAAAAACTGCTTTCATTCGATGAAACCGTATTGAAAAGTAAGTTGCTTGAACTTGTAGGATTTAATCCGCAGAAAACTCAGCTGGTTCCGCTCAAAAGGCGAATTAGGATGGACAACTTTCAAACTTCATTACTTAATGGTGCAAACCTTTCATTATCCGCGCTCTACTCTTGTACGAGTACAATAGAGAAGGACAGACTCTGGCCACCACTTCGAATACCATTTTCCCCGACAGAAGTGACTGGTACCTTAATAACGTTCTTAGCGGGGACAAGATCCCGATCTTCCGAAATAGCCACTGTAATAAGATCTATGTTTAGATCCAAAGACTCCCAGCTTACTGAAGAGTATTCCAGACTGAGATATACTGCAGAAAGTTGGTAAGCATTATCGATCTGCAATGCCTAAAACCACATCGAAAAATATAGCGTTTTACTGGGTCTGTGATAGTGGTATTCCGGGAAAGAAAGTGATCTCAGATAATTTTAAAGGAACTAGGCCAAACCATACAACCTCCTTCGCAATTCTTGTTTTCACTAGTTGAAGATATGACCAGAGAAGCTTAAGCACACGTGCACTGTATCGTCTTAACTTCAGTCAGTACTCGATGAATAAAGAGCACAGAGTTTGCTCAGGTGCACAAAATCGAACGTTCGGCCTCACGGAAATATTGACGGAATACATGGCGCGCAAATTGGCAGCCCGCAATAACGACTTATTGTCAAGCTGTAGATAGGAGGAGAAGATAGAATTCATGCAGAACTTTCTAGGCATTTCTTGGAAGGAGGGAGGGTCTGCTAGGGTTCGCCAGAAATTCAGAATGGTTTCAAGAGATATAGGGATAGGTAAGGGGGAAATCCTCTACTGGGCATCATTCTTTGTTAATTTTTTCTTTTATTAAAAAAGGTATTTTTTCCTTTTAAGTGTTTTTTCTCAAATTTTTGTATACAATTTTGTATAGAAATACGCATATCAGAAGAAAGAAGATTTGATTTCGTTAACAACGGTATCAATTTTTTAAAAATCGGTTAGTAATTTGTTTGTTTAAAATATTTATTTTTTTAAAGGTATTTTTTCCTTTTAAATCTTTTTTCTCAAATGTTTACATACAAAGTATACAAATATGCATATCAGAAGAGAATAAGGGGGTCTAATCATGTTTACAACGATACCAACTTTTTAAAAATCAGTTCAAAATTGTTTGAAATATAAGGTTATTAATTTTTCGAAGACCCGCCCTTTGCCCCCTTATAGCACTGTAATATAATTGTGCAAAAAAAAAGTTATAAACCATTTAAATATTTGTATAAATGTATTTTTAGTGTTTTAGTTATTTACATATAATAATAAAAAATAATTTTTACCAAAGATTCTATTTCGAACTTCGAATGCTCATATCTCGGTTTCGGAGGCTAACTTCGAAAAACGGAGAAATTGCTGTTTTACCTATGACTCAATCTCTTAAAAAAATTGGTTTGGTCCAATACCCAGCGGAGTGCTGTAGAGTGTAATAATTCCAGTATCTTCTTTTATGTATATTGTAACTATCGATATCTTATAAAGAGAAGTGTAAAATTTTTTGTATCTAAAACTAATAAAGTTAGAAGGACGAAATTCGAGGATATGGTAGTTTACATATTAGTCCTTGATATAAATTTTTTCAAAAATAAATATTGGAAATTTCCAAGGATATTCAAGGATAAAGTTTTAAAATGAGATTTTCAACATTTATTTGTCCTGGTGCAACAAAAAATAACTTTTTTTTAATTCTACAGAATTTTTCCTTTTAACTGATACCCATATTGTTACTCTACAGTGCACCAAATCTTTTAAATAAAATTAAATTAAAGGGAATTTCAAAGTCCTTTAAAAAAAAATCCGGATGTCAGAGAGAAAAACTAAAAACGCAGTTTCACTATATTTGGCTCCTAGTTTTGTGAGTATGTATATTGATTTATTTTGTACGTTTTAAAAATTTTGTGTTTTTGTCGCACAGTGTTATGCCGTGGTGTCTAAGAAATTGTTTTGCGCTATCTACTACGGGTTTCTAAAGTTTTTTTGGGGAAAAAAAGCACAAGGCAACCCATGTTTGCAACAGAAATATATGACCGTTCTATTATTTCTTGAAGAAAGAATGAGGCAACAGGCTGTGAAGTATGAGATGTCAAAATTCCTTGGACACACACGCGAAATAATGGCAATTTTTTTCTTGACCGTTTTCTTGAGAGCTGCATACTGGCCTTAAAGTTCAAAAGTATTTAGCTATTTGTGTTTTGGTAAATAATAAAGTATGTACATAGGTTAGCGTGGGTACCCGGCCATAAGGGAATAGAGGGTAATGAGGCGGCTGACTGTCTCGCTAGAGAGGCGTCGATATGTAGGAATATAAATAAGTATATGAGTATAATTTAAATTGTTTTAAGAGTCTTACAACATTTATACCTATGTTTTTGTTAAAATCACAAAAAAAAAGATAACCTTTTGCTTTAATATTTACGTAGACATCTTTAAGTATGTAGCTTAACATCTTTCCTTTTAGTATTTTGACACCTCGAAAGAGGTTCTTACTTCAAAAACTAAAGTATTTAAATATGTCCATCATTGGTACATATAAAATGTATGTCAACAAATTGTGTAATACCCCTTGTAGCGAAGTATCTTCTTTAAAATGTAGAGTTTTTTGAAGCTTCATAGACCGCGAAAACATTTTCCACTTTTTAGTTCTTTCTAAACCCAGATTTCCAACAAAAAAAAAAAAAATTATTAAAATATATAGCAATTTAGCAATTGCATAAAGAGTATGTATTCCGCTTTTCCGTTAAATCAATAACATTAGTATTAAAATTTATACACACATATGTATGTATGTATGTACATATATACATACTTGAACACAATAGCTTTTATCCATATAAGTACTTCAATAAATAAATCACAGCTTAAACTCACCTCAAGCGAAAACCGGTTATGTCAATCTGTCTGTTGAACAATTTTGCACAAACGAACCACTCACAATGGATTTATTTTCCAACGAATTGAAGAACTGCCAAATCCGCAGAAATGTAATCAATCCCAAGTAACCGATGCTTTCACGTTATACACAAGCGTATTTTTTTTGTATTCATTCAGCACGTTTTGTAATGACTTTTCTGAGAATTTTTTTTTGAGTTGCATTGAATTTTTTTCAGGTTTAAGCGAATCATGGAATACTTTTGCATTTAATATAATTCACTAAAAGCGTTGAGAATTGCTGCAAGAAGAGAGATAAAAACATATTTTAATTAACACCTGTTGAAATTGAAGATTTTTTAGTACATATTTTTCTTTTGCTTAATGCTACTTCGTGTCTATACAAAACAGATACTGACATAAACTGTGTGAAGAACAGAACTGTGTGCAAGACACGCTGAATAGGGAGAAAACCAAGAAAAAAAATGCATTTTGCAAACAAATCAGAAATTGCAAAGCGCAGCTTAAAAGCGAGATAAATTTGGACATAAACTTCTTCAAAGCATCTACGAAAGGAAACAGGCCATGGAATAAGTGATTGACCGGCCAAAAAAGGAAATAAGTAAATACAATAATGCGAACACCACGAGCAAAGCGGAGAAGAACATAAAAACAAGTACTTGCGCTTGAGAGCGAAGCCAATCTAACTGGATGGTGATTCGATGGTAAACGTATGTATGCTGAGATTGAAGGAGTAGCAGCGACCAAAGAAACAATGCCAGTAAGAAGTGAGGTAAAGCGAGGAAGCTGCAGCGACATTATGGGTACAGCAACCAACAAACCAACAAGCGATCTCCACAAATATTGAGTCAGCAGGAGTTTATGGTTCCGAAGTAATGCAAGAAGATGCAATCAAGCGTTGTATATGAGTGTGTGTTGTGTTTATGAAAGCAAGAGAAGTGGATTCAAGAAACGGTGGTATAAATAATAATAGAAAAAAAAAGAAAAGCCATTAACAACAAAAAAAAAGATACGAAAAGAAACAACAAGAATGCCATAAAAAGGAAAAGATGCACTGCCGCTTAGGAGAGGGAAATGGTGAGAGCGCGTGGAAGCATGCAGCCACCAACCACCACCACCACAACATAAATAATGGCATACGATGATCTATGTACTTATACAACACTGCTCAAAATAATAGCAGCGGAGAATATATCCTAAAATAAATGTGCCAACATTTTATGACTATTCCGAGGAAAAGTTTTTATTTCTTTTAAGTATGTACATTAGGGTGCATCACTCTTCATAAAAAAAATCAATACTGTTTTTCCATCGGAGTTATATTTTTCTTTATTTTGTGTCTTCTCGCAAAAATATTATGACTTAGGTGAGCTGGACGATCGAGTTTTTTGTGAATAAAATTAGTTTTTATAATTTATTTTACCAAAAAATTACCAAAGATAGAGCAGTTTAATCTTAAAAGGTATGCGTAAAAATGTTTAGAAATTTTATCAAAATAATGAAATTTTAGTTGCAATCGATCCACGTAAATCTTAGTATGTTTACGAATTATATACATAAGTATATTGGTGGAAATCTTTAAATTCTATCAATTCTATAATGCCGTTGTAATTTTCGGTGAGGCACCCTAATGTAGGTACACACACATTTAGTTTAGCTAAGCAAATTCCTAATAGTAGTGTCTAAAATAATATCAGTCCTTATGATTTCACAAGCAAGAATTAACAGAAAAAAATGGATCGTGAAAAATTAAAAATAATCTATGATTTTTTCGAAGCCTACTCCAAGAACTTTGTAGGGTTTGAACGTGACTAAAGTTAAAGAAAATGATGTTTAGGTTCAAGGACACTTTTAATGCAAATATACGCGCAAATATCTCCAAATATCCTTGCCAACATTGAGGTTACCATACCAGAAATGAACGTACAGATAAATTATGTGAATCAGCGATTTTAGTTTTCCATAAAAATATTTGGATATGAAAAAGCTATCTCTTTTTTAAACAACAATTCCAAAGGGTGGGTGGTTACTTCTGCCGAAAACTATCTCAACTTAAAATTTATTTAACTAGACTACTGTAATGTTGTGTAGGCATAGGTAACTGTACATCTAGCTGCTCAACTGTAGTATGTCGATATGGAAGACCAGTATAGGTTAGGTTTAAATATCTTCTTTCATGCGAGACTGATATTAAGTACAATCTTCCTCCGTCTTCAATTACGTATGTATTTATTTACATGAAGAGGTCTTTTTCTAGACTTCATCAGGGATCGAACCCGCATCATCGATGTGCAAAGTCAGAAGTGCTAACCACTGAGCTATACACACCGCGTAAGCTCTTGTTGCTAATCCATTTCCTTATTCAACCTACAGCTATCAAGTGCAGCCGATTCGCCGCTATTTTACTTGGCAGCGTGGTTGTTATTGTTAATTTATACGTTACTTAATTACAATTATTGTATAGTGCGTTGTTAATGATTACTTTGAAAAGAGTATAACAGCAAAGGCGCCTATTACAAAAATAAGAAACTAAAAATGTATCGTCCGCTAGAACAATGACCTACCAAAAAGTACCACAGAAGAGACTTTAAAAAATGCACGCAACTTGAATTTGGCAACGAATAGTTCTTTCCTGTAGCATACTCTTCAGATTTAGCCCTCAAGTCACTGAAGAGCTCATCAAGGATATAAAGAACTTGGAGAAAGGAATCGTATATAATAAACAGCGTGGAAATTTCAAATTAATTTTTTCCCGGCTACAGCTGCTATTTTTTCGACCCCTGGTGTATTTTCCCCACACACCACAAGCAGAGGACAGCTAGCCGCCAAGCAGCCAAAGTTATCCAGGCAGACCAACTATTTACTTATATTAAATGACAACACTTGGTAAGGCTACATACATATGAAGAATGAGGAGCAATGACAGCAGTACTGGGCGAAAAAATACAGGAGAAGACATGCTAAGGCCAGAGAGAAGGTAGTTTAAAGCAAAGATAAGCAAGAAATATTGAGTAAAGTGAAGTTATGTCTGGCTCGCTCTTTGGATAACTAGATGGTAGATGGATGGATGGAGGAACAACAAAGAATAAGACAACGTAAAAAGAATAAAAAAAACACATAAAAGAAAGAACAAAAAATAAGAGCTCGTGAAAGAAATGCAGAAGAAGCACATAAATCAACAAAGACAGTATGAGAATAATAAAATACCAGAAAAATCAGTGACAATAACAACAAAAACATTGGTAAATACTACAAGTATAAACAGATGAAGACAAGCACATGGAGCAGCAGCAGCAGCAACAACATCAATAGTTAAAACAGGGAACACAGCAAATACACATCGCTCCTTTACTAAAAGACGGTCACAACTCATAAATAGCAGTTTTGGGATAATGATGCAGAATTACGCGTAAAATAATATTATATAAATATACAAATCTTGTCTAGTATAAACATTAGAAGCGCTTTGGCAGCTAAGTGTCAGTGCGTGGAGTATATTAAGTGAAAACTGTAAACGCAAGTCCCGAAAAATGGCGTTTTTTAGGTTGTGAGGGTCTTTTAGCAAAAGAGCGGTATAAACTATGTACATATATAAATATGTATGTGACTTTTTGTATGTATGTATGCACGCGCACAGGAGACGACGACTGTGTCCAAAAACGAGTTTTGGAGGCGCTTTGCTGTTTGTTTTATAGATATTATATTTTGGCTCATTGCTTGCGGTTTTATTGCAATGAATGACTTTTAAAAGCCTTTCAAACTACATAGTGTGGTTGTGTTGGTTGTTGCTGTAGCCTGAAGTGGCTGGTCGATGCCGCCTGTTTGACGTTTTTTCCCTGCCCCATTGAACAGCGCTCAAACTTCACCATGGCCGCGCTGCCGCCTGTGTGTGCTGCTGGCCTAAGCGTTTGGCGCTGATGACGCTTAAAAACTGGTTGTTCATGTTTGCCAATAACTCACCCAAGCGGGGACAAGGAGGGTGTGCAGCAATGGGGTTTCACTGTGAACAAAGGTAAGCGCGTGGGTTGAAGCAGACTACATTTGAGGTACATACGTAGGTATTACCCGCGAGGGGGATTTTCGAAGATAATTTTTAATTTCTTTCTTCAATTTTTTTTTTTACTTTTGGTTTTGCTTTAATTTTTGCCACAACACCCTCAAAAACTTTTGACACTATGATTCATATGTTTAAGAAGAATGAAGAATTTCGCATATTTTTCATCATTAAGGCATTTCAATTTATAAGCAGACTTTTTTGAATTAGCATAAAAACTTGTAATATTTTATATGCATATTTTTATGTTTTGTTTTGGTTTTTTTCAATGATTTTTTTTTGTATTGACATTCCTTTTTGTATTTCGTTTAGAAGAGTCTTTCTTGTCTGTCAGAACAGCATGATAAAAAAAAACAACAATAAACAAATGTCTGATACAGCTTTGTCACTTGAAATGAGCTAACAAAGCACAGCAGTAGGTAAACAAAGACCAGAATAATGAAATAATAATAAATTAAAATAAATAAATAAATGCTTGAAACTAGTGCACTCGAAAAGCAGTTGTGAAAACAAGCGCACTCGAAGTGCAAAGTGAAGGGAGTGTAAATATTTTATATTGAATCACTATGAAAATTACTAACTCGACGGACGATAAATTGTAGCTGGGAACGACGAGTCTGCCAAGTAAAAAGCATTAGAAAACTATGGAGCAGAATGGACAGAATCTAAATAAATATTAATACATATGTACATGTATGGTCATAGGAGACCGTACTGAAAAAATACACCCCTGACTAAATTTTTTTATGCTGAACTTTTGCGACGCTTTTTACATTTTTACTTATACCTTTCTTTGGTATTTACAGTCGGATCTTACAGTATTATATACCGCTGTTTTTTTCTCTCGAGGAAACATTTTTTTGTTTTGTTCCAAATCTCGCCAAAAATTTTAAAACTTTTACCAAAGAAGTGTTTCGATTCCAAGGCAATTTCGATTTTTATCTTTTGGTGAAGTAGGGGTCATCTTCTTAAAATTTTCTTATAGGTATCTTCGGCATTTACAGTCGATCTTAAATTAAATATGGTAGGGCTAGGCGTTTTTGTTATTTCTTTGGTATTTACAGTTACATTTTTTTGTTCAAAATCTCGCCAAAAATCTTAAAACTTTCGAAGATAATCTCGTTTTTTGCCGAACCTTGGGGTCCCCCACATCTTCGGTATTTACAGTCGGATTTTAAATAATGATACATCCATGTTTTTGCCTTGAGGAGAAAATTTTTTAGTTCCATAGTTCATTGAGCTGAAGTAGGTACCCTTTTTTTATCACACTAATTAATTAATTAATTAACGTAGCACCCTACTCCTATAATTATATCCAATGAAAGTTTCTAAATAAGCATTTTGCTAAGGAAGTATTTTTATAATTCCACTAGTAACATTTTTTTATTTCCGAATATACATATCGATGGTCCTGTGCAATAACGACACAATTCAAAATTCAAGAAAAAAACTGTTACTACTGTTAAGTGGCTCATGTCTCTAATCCTTGTCGAATCCATGTCTAATCTTTTGTACTTACTTTAGCAGTCCTTACTGCTTACTTTAGTAAGTAATGGAAGTTGATTAGAAAAGGATTTAAGACAAGAGCCACTTAACAGTAGTAACAGTTTTTGTTTTTTTGAATTTTGAATTGTGTCGTTATTGCACAGGACCATATATATTTAGATGTCACCGAAAAATCTAAAAGGGCGACCCTAGGCTCGGCAAAAATTTTTTTTTTTCGAAATTGCGCTGCAAAAATACTTCTTATTCAGAGGTGTAAGTTTTTTTGTTTGCTTGTAAGTTGGTACGGTCTATTACATACATATATATAGATAGTAACCCTAATTGCCATTTTAAAGGAGTATAAAACATGCTTTTGTAAAGAGGTAAGTACAAACATCAAACATACAAATGTACAAGTATGTACATATATTTTTTCTCTTATTCAATAATCGCTTTGGATCAACTACAAAATGATCTTCCAGCTAAATATGCAATAGTCCCAATGAAGCTGAACTGAAGTCGTTTACTGGTTATTGCATCGGTTTTCTGGCTGACTAACTGACATTTTGACTAGCTGGTTGTTGGTACATACACTCATATGTGTGGTTGCAAATACGAGTATTTTGAAACCGGTTGAGCCAGTCACTTCAACAGCGTTTACGATAAACGATGAGGTAGGGCGTGTATTATGGCACGAAGTGGGGGGTTTGGTGGAGAGGTCAATTGCGGTGCGATGCCTTAGTCACTCCAACTGTATGCACTTAAAAGGCATTCATTTTCAAATGCTAAAGGCAATTCTATTTTAATTCTTTCTATAATTGCAAATTGTAAACATTTATTTTACCATTTAAAGATGCTATTATTTTAATGGTTTCGTGTTAACGAGCTTAAAAGTTTTGGTACTCATGAGAAAATTTACTTTCCGCTAGTAGATATGAATAGATTTTGCTGAAAAATAAAATCGAACTTTTTTATTTTTCGCTTTAAGCTTAGAATAGTTTTCATTATTTCTGTTGCTTGACAAAGCACTTTAACTGCAAATTTCGTCGAGTCTGCAAACTGATTTAAGAAATTTTAATAAAAGAAAATTTCTTTTCCATTTCTTGTACATCATTTTATATAAATTTTTCGTTTTTCTTGTCACTTATAACAAATTACTATTTGGCGGCCGCTGTGGGGTAGTGGTTAGCAGTGGGCACTAGTCTTCCGAAGGGCCTGGGTTCGAGCCTAGTTTCCGACCAACATAAAAAAATAAAACAAAAACATTTGTTTCTGATAGCGGTCGCCTCTCGGCGGGCAATGGCAAACCTCCGACTGGACCTATTCTGCCATGAAAAACAGGTACTAATAAAAATACAATCACCGTTCGGAAGTGACGTAAAACTGTAGATCCGTCTCTACCTTTTGTGTGACAACATCAAGGCGCACGCTACAATTCGTATCAATCGAAAAATCAAATTGAATTTAAATTAAGTCAACTAGGTTAATAAGATTGGTACCACAATATTTTTTAAGGGAGTTACCACCTGTTTCAAAAGTCAAATTTAGTTAACTTATAAACAAGTTATATGCAAAAGTTAAATATGGTTGTCAAACAAAACAGTGCTAAGAAATCTTTAGTTTGAACATTAAAAATGTGTTCGATATGTTTGAAGAGTATTGCCAGCTATTGGAAAAGTTAAATTCAAATTATTTAAATAGTGAAATGAATAACTAAAAGATGGGTATCAATCGTTTATGGGTTTGACAAGGATTTATTTCTGAACGGTATTTAGTAGAGTTGCCAGGTATTAAAAAAATCTAATTCAATTTAATTCATCAGTTAATTGAAATTTGTAACACAGTATCAGAGGCAAGAGGTTTAAAAAGATTTTAGTTTGAACTTTGAAATTGAATTTCAAAGAGGGTTGCCGCCTGTTTGAAAAGTAAAATTTATTTAATTTATAAACAAATTATGTAAATGAAATATTAAAATAAAAGTTTAAGCAAAACTTAAGTTTGAAATTTGCACTGTGCAAAGATGATACCATCGATAGTGCCATCGATTGTTTGCCACCACTAGTGCATACTGAAGAAATTTACTATAGGTACAGGTGGGTACGGCAACTACTTCTGACAACTTCTGATAAGTCCGACATAGTACGGGATCGGAATTATGGATAAATCTCTATTTTCTTGAATTTTAACAAAACAAAAAAATCAACAAGTTGTAATCGTCTGAAAATTAATTTAACTATACTAATGTATTTGTGTTTGTACGCCCTACTGTAAATTACAATGATCTAGAAAAATAAAACTCGATAACAATTATTAGCTCTGAGCGAAAAAGTAAAACTCAATAATTATTATTTTTAGGTGAAAAATATAAAAATCATAAAATAATGATTACCGTCCCTAAGATAAATATTAAAAGGGCGTCGAAAAAACACTATATCATTTGTGAATCCAAGGATAAATTAAAATTAAATTACATATTTTAGATAAAACAAAAACACAAAATAACGATCTAAAAAAATGAAATCTTACATATGTAACGATTACAATCGATCAAAAAATTAAAAATTACAAAAAAGATCATAGCGCAAAAAAAAATCGAAATAACGATTATTTTCTGCCACCACTGTGCCTACCTAAAGTGATGATGCATTGAATTAATTGTTGGTTTACATAAAGTTCATAGGTACGCATGACAGAAAACCCACATACCTACCAGCTAATCTGAATGGGGTCTAATCCCATTTCCGGCCTTCTCGTTTTGCAGGCATAGAGATGAATGTTTAATAACTCGTTAAATTTGTCTACCAACTCGCCTGTAAATCAACTTGAAAATCTAAAAAAAAAACAGTAATTTATTTACCTTTTCGATTTGAATATTCAACTAACTCGTTTATAATGGCTGTTGCACTAATAGTTTTCAATTCGCGTATCAATTAATTTCAATTAAACAATTACGTATTATTATTATTATTTTTTTTTGTTTTACAATTTCACTTTTTTCACTTCGGTCTTATTAATTTTCTTCGTTCCATTCACACTAAATCCATTTCACTGTTTCAAATGTATTTTCTTCGCACACTTTTGTATTTTATTGCATTGCAAGCAATTTTCTACGCGTTTTGTTTTCACTACATTTATCGACTACCTCTACTCCATTTAAATTAATTTGTAACAATTCCAGAGCGCATCAACGCTGTTGCTCATCATACAAATAAATGCCAGCTACATATGTACATATGTATGTATGCATGTATGTACCTACATTTCCACTTCGCCACACTTGCATTTTCTGCTTCTGCTTTGCTATTGTTGTTGTTGTTTTTTTCCACGTTTGCCACCCAAACACTAGTCTCCGAGTTACTTTCTTTCACTTTACTTCGATTATACTGCCTTTGCTTATTCTTTTACTTCTGCATCGCCGCCTTTTTTCGACAAATGCTTCACTTTAATTTCGTTTGATACTTTATTTCTTTGTATGTATGTACATATTTTCAACTTTATATTCACCTTATTTTATCAAAAACAAAAGAAATTTACTGCAGCAGCATGAAAATGTAAACAAAAACTGCCAGCAAATGTAAAATTTTTGTATTAAACACGTTCTTTTTTTAGCGGCAAATTTCTCAATTCATCACTCACTAAGCAAACGAATTCACTTCAACGCGTTTTTTTTCTTTTACTTTATTCGTCATTATTACTTCTTTAATCGAAAATTCGAATGCATTTCACTTTTCGTATTGTTGTTGTTATTATTATTTAATTTTGGTAGCGAACACCAATAAATAAAAATTCCAACATAGTTTACACACTTCCCGCGTTTAAACAACAGCTTCGACCGGCGTTTATAAAACAACTGAAGTGCCAGGCAGCTGTCGCAGCAGCAGAAACAACAGCATTCGTGACGAAGCAAGCGAAAGACGAAAACAGCAGAAAGCAGGCAACGTCAGCGTCGCCGTAGCAGCGCTAGTATGTTGGTTGGGCAGGCAGCTGCTACAGCGCATGGTAAATTGTTGTTTTATTTTAGTGAAGTGTTAGTGAGGAGGGGCGAAATTGCTTGCAGCTGGCAGTACTCTTGGTTTTTTGTGGTATTGTCGGAAATCAGCTCTCGCATGCGATTCAGCTATTTGAAATGCCGTTGTGTCTCTCTTTTCTAAAATTGCTCTGTACTGTTGTTGTTTGCTTCCAGCGAAGAGCGTTTTCTTCGAACAGCTGATGCGTATGGGTGTGTGTATGTGGCTGCTGTTATGCATGTGTGGGAGTTTGCCTAAAAGTATGCCACTACTGTGCGGCGAATTGGTTGAACGGTTGAATACAGCGTTTGCTTGAAGAGTGTTGCCTACGCCCTCAAAAGGGAAAATGTTTCCCCAAACAAAAATACGTATTTTTTATCATTTGTGCATACTTTGATATTAGATAAAAGGTCTATCCTGCACTGGTAAGAAGCTTTTTGTTACCGGTTAATAAAGCTCCTGTAAATTTTTAAAAGGGTTGAACCATTTTTTAAGTCTATCATATTGTGATCAATTTGATTGTTTTTTCTTTGATTAGGGGACACCCAAATGGCTTTAAAATCGTTATAATTTGGCGCGCAGAGTACCTAAAGGTTTTTTATTAGGGCTAAAATTAGCTTTAGCATGTTTCTTGAAAAAAAAGCGGAGTGCGTATAGTACCCATGCGCTGAAGAAGTGAAACTTAATAGAGAAAACTCCAGAATAGGAGAAGTTAGCAATACATGAGTTAAGGTCAGGTTAAATATGTGTGTGTGCGGAGTGAGATGAGATAAGTGAGTTGAGGTGAGTTACAGTGAGTTGAGCTCCGGTTAGTTGTTATCTTTATTTTGGTCTGTGTCTTTATCTCTAAATTTTGTCTTTGTCCTTGTCTTTATCTTTATATTTTTTTCTCTTTCTCTTCGTCGTTGTCTTTATCTCCGCCTTTGCCTTTGCCTTTGTTTTAATCCTAATCTCATTCTTTGTGTTTACTTCAATCCTAAAATTAATTTTCATCTTCATTTTCTTTTTCCTCTTCCTTTTTAACGTTATCTTTCTCTTCTTTTTATCTTCAATCTTTAATTTTCACTGTCGTATTTATCTTGCTCTTTGTCATTATCATCGGCTTGATCTCTATCTTCTTTTCTTATTTATCTCCGCCTTCCTCTTAGGCCAAATATTTGACCTTTGTTTATATTTTTATATTGCTTTGTCCTCTTCGTTTCCTTTGATTGCGTCTTTGCCTTTGTGCATTTAGATTCGGAGGAAATCATTTTTTTACCATTGCTCCATACAGGAGCAACCACTGTAAGGTGGTACCAACTGGCCGAAAGAAGCTGCACCTAACCGGAAATTCCAGGTAATTGCGATATCTATCAAGCCGAAGTCTTTGAAACAAAGCAAGCGGCAGAGGTACCACATAAAATTACCCTGTCAAGCAATCGGATAAACATTTTCATGGACAGTAAGCAGCCATTAAGGGCGCTAGTTTCATATTATATATGTAAATTCGATGATCGTCGCGGATTGTAAGGAGGCTACAAGAAGGCAAGATGCGGCTAAAACCGTCTACCTAGGACAGAGCTGACGAGATAGCCAAAGAACGCGTTCCTTTGGACGCATTAATAGTGATGGATGTACCAATTTCTTCACTCAGGGTTGTACGCTTGCACAGATTATATGCAGTTCATAAGAAGTTTATAAAAAATTTGCCGATTTCTAACTATCAATAACAAGAACAAACTCGAGATTTTTGTTAGGTGATGTAAAGTATTAAAGTTGTAGAAAACTAACGATCACGAGGAAGATTTGAATGTGTTTTAAACATGATTCTATATCGAGAGCATTGTTTCAAAGGGACTTGGTTCTTACCATTGTTCGTTGGATAGACATGTATGTTTTGCGAGCGCGAAATCACCTCATCCTTGCACAACACTCAAGTTTGTTAGAAGAGCTCATAATCAGACTACATAAGCGTGGTTGCGATGCTCTTGGATCACCAAATATCCTGACAATTATAGTTACGGGAATATTCCGCAGCACTGAATCGGAAGTTAATAGGCGAGCTCTTAAATTGGCCTAAGCTTCTACAACAAGGTATAAATCAAACCTTGACTCGACTACTTCTTAAGGTACAGTGCTTGAGTACTCCGCTGATGTCGAATACTGAAACTCGCGAGGGAGCTGCAACTTGGACCATCTAAAGACTGCTGCTAAATGGAGTACAGATCAGGCACAGTTTTGTATGGACCTGATACTAAATTTGCGACTTCCATGGGGAGGTAGCTTATGGTGTTTCAGGGCAATCTTTACCTGCGTCAAATTATAAATTCGAATCTGGTTAAAGACTGCTTGGACATGCGCTGAGATCGCCGATGAGTTGGCATGAGAAGGTTAGTTAATTGCCTTTTTCAGACCGGATCCATTCAATAGTCCCAGTTTTTCCTCTTCGAAAGCCAGTAAGCACTCGAGAGTGGTGGGAGGAAAAGACAGGCACTTCCCTTCATATGCTCGAAATTAAAATGTTTCTTCAATTGGAAACAGTAAAATATTTACTAAAAATATCTTCATTGCCGAGACAATCTATTAGATACCAATTACATTCTAAGGAAATGCAGTGCGTCACCAATTAGTTTTTGAGCAATAAAGTGCGTCAAGCAAAGGGTGGCGCACAAAAAAAAAGAAAAGAGAATGTACATGAACGGGGAAGGGTGTTACAAAGGAGCAGGAGGAAAGCAAATAAAGGGAAATGGATCAATTACAATTGATAAATGTTCATTGATAGCAAGCAAATGATGGCGGATGTGTGAGAATGTAACTGCAACTGCAGCGTCAGTACGCAACTAGCGGGGTGGCAGACAAAATTTGGTGGCGATGATAATAATCAAACCAATATATTTTCAGCACCTACGACATGCACGCTTAAACACACACATATGCACATACATTGATACATACATATGTGAGTACATATATATTGGCTTGAACAGGGACAATCAGCCAATATGGGGTTGCACTAGATTAATGTCTTTTCGAACATCATACATACATATGTACATACATATGTACATATGCGTGTACAATATTTGGGAATGCGCATTCACACACGTACGCATACAAGCGGTATTTATTTTTATTTTCACATTTTTGTTATGGCTGCGGCCGCTATTACTTGATGCGTTCGCTGCAACAAAAGCAAAATTTGTATGCGATAAGCGCACACGAGTGCTGGAGCTCGCCTTCACCCTCGCCCACTGCATGCGCTTGTCAATAAATAAGCACAAGTCCAGCATCCCAGGCAATAAGCGAAAGTGCAGGGTGGCATAGAGATAGCGGAGCGGCTGATTGCTGTGCGGCACGTGTGCGCGGTTGCACGCCCGCTTGTCCATTCAATTCACAAACATAAAGTGACTCAAACAAATGACCACGTGTTGATTTTCTTGAAATATTCGTAATGTTTTTTGAGCTAAATTTTTTTTTGTGTTATTTTTCTATAAAAATATCGTCCAAGCTTTAACCAACCGTATGAATCACAGATTCAAACTTTTTTAAAAAATTTCGGAAAATTCAACAAATTTTCATCAAAATTTCAACTTTTTATTCTGAATCTTTAGAAAATTTTTGGGTATGTAGTTTTATGGCCCATAAAATTTTAGTCTAATCAAGTGCCAGTTTTAAACGGCTAAAACATTCCGCTGATTTTTTGAGAATTTTTTTGAGGATAAGTTTGGTTAAAGCTTGGACGATATTTTTATAGAAAAATAACAAAACAAAATGTAGCTCGAAACACATTACAAATATTTGAAGAAAATTAACACGAGGTCATTTGTTTGAGTCACTGTATGTACATACATACATATTTGCCAATGTGGTTGCGATGGACGTTGGATGCATGTGTGAGTGAGCTTGCATGTTGCAAGTAATATATTGGATTACAACGTTATTGAAGTGGGTTTAAAGCAGCTGCAACAGCAGTTTAAGCATGGACCTCGTGTCGAAGCGGATTCTGATGCTGACGCTGATACTTGTCGGGTATTGCGACCGCAAAGCAGATGTGAGCGTAAAGTAAATTTACTAAGCGACAGTAATACATGACGCGTAGCGGTAAATGTTCGTGAGTTTAGCACTGTTAAGTGGGTGTATCGCATGCCATACGTTCGATTTTTCATTTTCGTCTACACGTAGGTCCACCAAACACTAATGGCGTATTGTGGTTACCACTGAATGAACATATGTATATGCGTGTGTGTAGCATGTTTGCTCGTGAATAATGGTGGAGCACGCACTTCTCCAATATTCACTGCGTGACTTACTTATTTAGCTGCCCTTATCTGCTATCACTGCCATGTTTGGAATTGAAGCGTCCCAGCATTCCCGGTTGTGCTCGTTTTCGTATAGAAAATCAGATGAAGAACGCTAAAAATTGGTGAAAGTCAAATACTTACCGCCGCCCTTGCTATTTTCCATCAAAACCATTCTTCATACTCGTAACTCCGCTAATCCCCCATGCATGTGGCTTTTGTCTATT